CCTCTAGTCTTACACTGCTAAATTAGGGACGGCTAGCACAGATAGCCCTCGTGTAGCTTTGCGCGTAATTCAAACCAAACCAAGTTTCTAACATTACATTAATGCACTATTATTATTTGTTACATTTGTATTATTTGCTCGCCTTTTCAGCCATGGGGTCGTTATAATGTGATGGTCAATCCCAGTATTCGTTGGTAAAAGAGTTGCCCAAGAGTTGGCGGTGGGTATTGTTGACTAGATGCCTTCCCTCTGGTATTTCACTGCTAAATTAGGAATGGCTAGCACAGATAGCCCTCATGTACGTCATTTAAGTAAATACAAATTATTTAGTGTAGTAGTACCATTAGTATAAAAAAGCAGGCTTAAATTCCATTGGCAACCAACAGAGAAAAAAAACATAAGGTCACGGGTACATGATATATTTCCTGTTTTTCGTGTATATTCTTTATTTATTACTATAAAAGTAACTGGTTTCTAAAGTTATAGAAATTACAACTTATTAGGTAGGATAATGCAAAAAAATAATAATAATTCTTCATTAGTTATACTCATGAGAATCTCATGCATTATATCATTCTATACAATAAGGTGTGCTACATGTACACAGTGGAATTATTTGTTAGACACAGGTCAACATGGAATATACAGTTAAATTAAGTATAAACAGATGGATACTGCTACAAGCTTTAAACTATTTAGGATAAACAGTTGCTGCATCTTGTTACAATTTGCAGTCATTCCAGAAAGAAAAAATGTTAATTTAGATTTATTGCGTTTTTTTTATGGTGGTTACATAGTTGGTCAAATCAACTGAACGTGTATAGAGTTAAGCTAGGGAAAATAACAGATAAATATAAAGTTTTACTGAAAAAAATGCTTGATATTTATTTTGGAGGTTTTAGGGATTACACAAAGGTAATTAGACAATTTTCAGATAAAGAAAAGTATTTTTAATCGTAACATGATTTGCACTTAAAGTAGTCAACACTCTGACTCCACATATTCACAGACAAATATTTAATAAAAATACTTAATCAAAAAATCTTATTTTATGTGTACAAAAGACTTGTAATGTTTTACTAAAAGCTTGCCAGATTTCGTGAAGATAAACAAAACTTATTAAAAGTTATAGTATAGAAACTCTGATGGTTGCTTTGGGGTTAAAAGGTCAGTCACATCGACCAGGCCTATAGAAACAGGATTAAATTGAAACTTTGCTTCAGAATCTAAGAAAACCATTTTATCTTATTATTTTATTAATTCAAAAACAGTTTCACAAAGCTTTGAATCAGAATGCTTTCAGTTGATATATGCAAGATACTAATGGATCTTGGTACCAAGCAATTTGTAAAGATGCAAGAAAAAAGCAGTGCCTATGTTCTTGAACACAAAAATCAGCTAAGATTACAAATCATAACCAGTTTTTAAAATGTAAATTATAAAATAAAAAAGAAAGGAAAATACAGTGAACTTAGAAATTGGTTTAATATTATTTTGAATGAAAACATTTTTTTTTTTCCTTTTCGTTCTCTAATTTTCATCAGCCTTTTGTTTCCGTCCAGAATTTCACTAAGATTTTTCATTATGGGTAGGAATATATGTAATTTTATCACCTGCTCGAAATTTAATTATATCTGTAAATTGATAAGTTAAGACAATTTGAAGTGATACCACTATGATACATATACATTGTGTAATTAACGATTACCTGCCATGACAAACAGTCCAATCAAAACAGACACAACACCTTTCTCAATCATTATTAACATCCTTCTATAATTCACTGATAAGGATAATAATTAAGTTAATTATGTCTATCAATACAATATACATCCCCTAGTGGTACAGTAGTAAATCTGCAGACTTGTAATGCTAAAACAGGGGTTTTGATACTCGTGATGGGCACAGCTCAGATAGTCCATTATGAGGCTTTGTGATTAACTGCAAACAAACAATACAGTGTACAGTTAACTTTTTTTATTGTTTCAATGTCACATGAACTTTCATTAACAACCAATGCATGTAATTGGTATTGACATATCTTGGTGGGGAGATCGGATCAAGCATGCCAGTTGACGATGATAACGATATACTGTCTTCGAGATTTGGTTGGCTTATGTTGAGAGTTTTGGAAACCAAGTGGGTTATAATACTGCCTTAAGCATGGTGATTCACCAACTATTCTGAAAATTAAAGGGGAATTGAATTTCACAACTGGAAAAAATAAAAGGTGAAATCAAACTTTTGAAGGTGAACTTTAAAGGATAGTGGCGTGACTGCTATGAAATATTTCAACTACTAATTGTTAGGAAATGATGCATATATTGTCAAGTCTATCATGTATCTTTTGTGAAATTAACTTCCTTTTCAAAAACTGAACTCGAGGAGAAATTAGTTTAAATTGAACTTATATTTCTCATTACAGTACAATATAAAGTTTCAAGACTCCAGATCTATGTTAAGATGTTTAATTCTCTGATTATTTTGTTGTTCATAGGTACAGAATTAAAATATTTATAGATTTTAATAATTTAAAGAAGTAATATAAGCCTGACAGTTTTAAAAATTTGAAGCTAGATTTTCGTACTTTAAAGAAGTAATCTAAGCCTGGCAGTATTAAAAATTTGTCGATTTTCATACTTTAAAGAAGTAATCTAAGCCTGGCAGTATTAAAAATTTGTAGATTTTCATACTTTAAAGAAGTAATCTAAGCCTGGCAGTATTAAACATTTGTAAATTTTCATACTTTAAAGAAGTAATCTAAGCCTAACAGTATTAAAAAATTTGTAGATTTTCATACTTTAAAGAAGTAATCTAAGCCTAACAGTATTAAAAATTTGTAGATTTTCATACTTTAAAGAAGTAATCTAAACCTAACAGTATTAAAAATTTGTAGATTTTCATACTTTAAAGAAGTAATCTAAGCCTGAATAGCAGTTGAACTTCTAAATATTTATAAATTAGTTTAGTCTAGTTGGTTGGATTATTAACAAACATTAGAGCCATGCCAACAAGAATTTAGGTTTGGAACTCATAAAATGCACAAATATATCTGGTTCCATAAACATTAAGGACTGGGTGTAGCAGTATTTGAACAACAATAACCTGTGCGATTGGAGCACCTGGTTTGTTAACATAGATATGATAAAACTTTGTTCTTTTGTAGATTTTTAATCTTTAAAAATCCAAAATTATATAAATCTATATACTGCTCCAATGAACTGCAGCCTTTGATAGAGTGGATGATTTCTTTATACTTTCTTTAGCTTAAGTACAGATTTTCTAGATGTGTTATGTTAATTACATGAAGAAACTTAACTGCTAAAAGGAAAAGGGTAAATGTATTTTAAATATTAATGTAACATACTTTGTGTTAGCTAAACTATTATTCGTGACATTTCTATTAAAAGTTTCCTTCTTTTCCAGGTTTTTCACGTACAAGACAAAAAACTTGACAAGCCATCTTTTCTCAACAAATCATTTTTTGGTTTCCTTGCTTTTAATGTCATTAGTTATTCACTACTCTTGACTGAACTAATATTGCTACAGTTAGGAGATCACAGTGAAAATGAAAGAGTAAGTTGATTTAATATCACCACCTTACATTGAAGGTTACCATAGGCCAGAAAGATAATTGGATCTAAAATCATTACATTTCAATGAATAAGATAATTAACTACAGTGAGAATGAATTGATATACACATAATTTAACATTATCACATACTTGAAACTGGCCTTTCACTGTATTTCACTTTTTATTTTTTTATAATTAAGGTATGTATTATGATAGTTTTTTTTCACAAAGCCGAGTAACAGTTTAACTACTCCAGAACAACATTACCTGCATAGTAATCTTCAGGTGTACTTTTGTACACCTGATATTTGACAGAGTGGTGTGAAACTTTTGCCTAGGCTCTTGGCTCTCACACTACCCCCCCCCCCAAAAAAAAATAAAAAAATAAATAAAGACAGTAAAGAGAGGGGCCTCTAAAATGTTAGAAAGGTGGGACTCTCAGATTTGATGGAACCACTTTATTTCAAAATTTGTATTAATATTTATGGAGCCATAAGAATCCACAACCTAAACTCAGATTTGAAAGTTTTAAAATTTGAGACCCCTATATAAGAACTGAAGGAACTTGGGGGATTCTCGGGACTAGATCCACAAAATTTATATCAGTACTAGAAAATTGGTATTTACAGGTAAGGGATAGTTCAAAATACATACCTCTATTTTTAAAACTTTGGAACTACTGTAATGGATGATCAAGGTGGTTTAAGGGGTTCTTAGAATTCACTGTGGAGATTTATGTTGAAATTGATAATGAAATGTGAATGTTTATTTAAAACAAGTTATTTCCCCTGAAATTTCACAGGTAATTGACTAGTTGTGCATACTGTTTATAATATTGGTTACAACTGCACACGAGATTTTGATCTAAATTACTATAACGTTAAGTATGATACGGAAGCTTTCACGTTCAAGTAACTTAATATTTTATTATTTGTAAAGAATTTGCTAGCCATAAACGACTAGCGTCTGTATATGTAAGATGGTAGTTTGTTTTAGTTCTTGAAATTAGTTTTAGTATCAGATATGTATTTCCTCTTTAATATTTCTAGCATACATTTTCTTATGTGATGATAAAGTTAAGTTTTTATGTCTTTAATTTCTTTTCAGAATTTTTTCACAAGTCTGTTCAATGGATTTTATGCTGGACTTATGCTTATTGTAGTAATATTTTTCCTTGTTTATGGGACACTCATGTACTTTCAGGTGAATTGTTTTCTCCTTATTGAAAATATGATGTTGTACTAGTTTTTCTGAAGTGATGATATTTCTACTGAAGAAGATAAAGTTTTATTCAGAATTTGAGAAATTAAAATCAAACCTTCTAAGGGAAGAACTTTATAAGTGACTCAGTACAATAGGACAAATATAATTCTAAGTGTATATTAAATGAATGAATTAAGCCTCATATTTATTAGTACCTCCAAACATTATTTAGATTGAGACAAAAATCAACATGAGATTGAGAAACTTTGTGGCTTTCTGTAATCTGTATTTTAAGTTCCTTTTAGTTTGACCAGTATTAACACTACCAGATTTACCTTCTGTTATGTAAGCCCCGGTTTATCTTATCTTTAATTTTCTCCAACATGTGTATAATCTTATTCATAGGTTTAAAAGTGGGATAAAATTTATGTTGTCTCTTAAAAACATTAAATAATTGACCTGTTAATACTGGAATGTAAAGTAAACGTAAATTATATATTAAGTTTTTTCAAAAATGCATTTTACATGGTATTCTTTACCTAACATTAAACCATGAATAAATTTATTAAATGCTGTATGTACTACTACTATTTGGTCTAAATCCTATTTCAATCACTACATATTTAATTAGTAACAATTCTGTACTTAAATATTCCTGTCTAGTACAACACAATGTAAACATAAGGCATAAAAATAATAATTTCTTTTTGTGTTTATGTATATATAAATATATATATGGTTGGCTGTGTAAATAATACAAAAATGTGATACCATATGACATACAAAAAGTATATATCTTAGAAACCAATGCCTTGTAAATAACTTGAAAGATGACATAGAAGGCATCAAAATGTCAAGTGTTTTTTAATTGGAAATAATTGATGCCTTTAATAAACATCTTTTGATTGTGTAAATATGAAAGGTATTTTTATTACTTATGAGATTTTAAACATTAAAGAAGTGTCAAACTTTCATACCTACTAGTATACTGTTATAGTAACATGACAGTTATGTAAAAAATATATGAAAAAAATTAGAATTGCATGAATAAACTCAACTTTATGTGAAATGAATACTGATTTTTAAAATTTTGAATCCAGCTTCGTGGAGGATTTATTCAAAGCTCATCAACAGCTGTCAATACATCTCAACTTCATCAGTCTCGACTAGGGCTTGTATCTCAAGGAGTTCTACTCCTCATTACCATAGCTTTTATTATCTCTGATGTTCTGGGAAGTTCTTGGAAAAATAAGTAAGTAATATCATTAAAAAAAATATACAAGAAAATTTTTGAATAAAAGTAGGTGGAGAACCAGAATATTTTTATAATTTTCTTTGCACATTTTTTTTTAATGTAGATGATATTCTTTTGAAAATGTTAAATAATTTTTTGCTACAAGTAGTTGTTAATCAAAGTATACAAAAACATCTCCAGAGACCGTATCAAAGTAAAAAATAATACTTGGAAAATAACCAATAGAACATTTGAAATTTAAATATGTTGTATTATGACAAATGTGTTAACGCTTTTGCGAGCGACGGGCTCGGTATAATATACACGAATTAAGTATTTATACAATAACTTTTATTGCACTAAGTGTATCTTCACAAAATCTGGTAGACTTTTAGTAAAGATTAGAAGTCTTTTGTACACAAAAAATCAGATTTTTTTAATGAAATATTTTTATTATAGATTTGTTTGTGAAAATATCAAGTCTGTTTCCTTACCAGTCCATGTGCAAAGTGATTTTCATGTTATAAACTAAAAAACTATTGTTCGTCCCAAAAATCTCGAATATTATTTGTGTAATCTCTAAAACCTCCTAAATACATTTCAAATGTTTGTTTTCAGTAAAACTTTATATTTTATCTGTTATTTTCTCTACCCTAACTCTATACAAAGTTGATCAATTTGACTGAACTCGTAACCCCCGCCCCAAAAAATCGAAATAAATCTAAGTTACTCTCTTTTTTTTCTAGAACGACTTTAAATGTAGTGTGTATCATGTTCTAAATACACAAATAAACCAAAATAAGGAGTAAAATACACATTAAACCTTGACACCAGAAGGAGTGAAAAAGCTCAGTATATTAATATAAGCATGCTAAAAGATTTCTGTGAAGATGGTATAATACAAACACCATGATAAAATAAAAATGAAGGCAGCAACTAAGAAATTCCACATATTTTTATACCAGCCAAAATGAAAGCTATTTAACGTTGGTTAAATTATCTAGTGATTATAACTGAGTTACAAGGGCTTCTTCACAATGGGGTAAGAAAAGAGCTTATGTACATGCTTATTTTTTTGCACTTTCTAGTATCACCAACTCTAAAAAATCAAAGAACTCTCACCTGGTGACCTTTAGTCAGGTCAGGAGTACTAGAACTTGACCTCTGACTGTAAGGATAAGGAGGTGGGGGTTTGTACTGGTATGAGAGATGCAGATTTACTAACAGTTGTTCTGCAGTCAGATCTGTTGGCAGGCCTTGTGATGTTAATTCAGGACTACTGTAGGTGTGTGAAGGAGGTACTGAAAGATCATTACTCCTGTAAAAGAACAAATACAAAAGACTTACTCGTTCCATTATATCCGTTGTTTTCATTAAACTGTCCATTCTGAAATCAACAGTGCTCATTATAATCAACTTTGTTCACCTTTTTTTTTACCAGCTCTTCAGATTATAACAACAGAACCTGAGAAGACTGACACAAACATGTGGAAGGTGTTATTCTATTATCATTTGTGTTGTTATATTTGTAAAAATATTATATCAACTCTGAGTAACAGCAACACTTTACATTAAAGAACTACTTTTGATTCTAGCTGGTTTGAATGAAACAGGTTAAAAACAAAGAAACAGTTAAGTCACACTGGTTACACAAGCTTATATGAAAGTTATTCTTGAAAAAGTATAGTTTGAATAAGGAATATTGTTTTAAGTACTTGTGAACAATGGTGAATATATATAATTTGGTCAGGAATTCTTGAATAAACAACAATAGTGAATATATAATTTGGTCAGGAATTCTTGAATAAACAACAATTATGCATATGTAAATTGATCAAGAAGTCTTGAATAAGAAACAATGGTAAGTATGTAACTTGGTCAGGAAGTTTTAAATAAAAGTATCAGCAGTCAACTTTGTTATCTTATTTCAAAAGAAGTTGGTAAAGGAACTGAAAAAACTATTCCATTTTGCAGAGGAAATGACCTCAAAGTTTTTCAGAACTATTCCTAAGTGCAAGATTTTCTTCTTTGCAATTTATAGAAAATAATTATGTATGCTGGTTGATCTTTCTAACATAAAAGAAATTCACAAAAGAACCAGAAAAACAATGTCATATTATATCAAAAATGACTTAACTCTGCACAAGTTATAGCTACAAAACTCATGTTTCAAAAAACACATTATCAAGTACATTATAGACATTACATTAAATGTAGTGTGTGAATTTGCCACAAGGTGTACCTGATTGCTTTGTTTGTTTGTTGATAAGCACAAAGCTAGAAAAATGGGCTACCTATGCTGTTCTTAATACGAGTACTAAAACCCAATTTTTAGCATTATAAGCCATTGTGCCAGCAGAAAAGGTGTGGGGAACAAATTATTGCAAGATTCTAATAACTTCCACAAACTTTCTGAAAAGTGTATTCAAAAAAACTTCTTTACTAAGTATATTTTATGGGCAATAACATATGGCTTTACAAAGTAAACTGTGTCAGTTTTTATCTGTAAATTATTAATGTCAAATTGTAAGCTTTGAATATATAGAGATAAACCTTTATAGCCCATAAGCTTCACTGGTATTTAGCAGTAACACCATCTCACCTGCTAAGACCTAAACCGACATCACTCACAACTCCAGCTGAACCATTACTTTTCAGGTGGGACAAATCAGTATAGTTTTTATACTGAGTGTAAGACTGCAGAGGAGCAGCTTGGTGGTAAGCGTGGGAGATGTCGACCTGACTGTCTGTTATGGTGGAGCTGGTCCGAGACTGACGGATACCACTATGGGTGGATGTATCTCCTAAACTGGTGCTAGGATTGAGAGAATATATCCCAATAAACATTCAGCATCAATTATTTAAGATTTTATAGATTTCTTATTATTTAAAAAATTATACAAAAGTTTTTTACTTCTAAAGGTCTACAATATTTGAAGAAAAAAATCTTTATGTTTTAAAAGTAACTAGCCGCAGGAAACATACTTTTCTATTCTGCTTTTGTTACTTTTAAGACATAAGCACTGAAATTAACATCAAGGTTTTCAGATGTGTATCTTACAATTTAGATAACCTTGAAAAATAGTGAGAATTGTAAATTTGCTGGGATATTTGTAAATAGTAGGTTAAACATGAAAGAGTCCATATTTCTATTAAATTCTAAGGAATTACTAACTAGACAGAAGTCGACATCAGAACAATTAAAATAAATTAAGTTTAGATGATATGATAGTTTTTATCTCATGCTAATACATTTAAGCTAATAGTCTAACCACTATTGATTAACAATCTCAATACAGGCTTGGTCAATTTGACCAACACCGTGACCTTTTTGTACTTGTTTAGTCTTTATGGATTAAATACTTATATTAATATCACAAGTCTTTCACATACAAAGTCATATTTCTTAGTGAAGTATTTTTAATAACATAAAATAAAGATCTGTCCATGAATATATTGAGTATCTGTTTTGAATAGTCTGTGTGAAAAGTAATTTTCATGTTAAAATTAAAAATACTTTTTCCTCATCTCAAATTTCCTTTATGTAATCCCTAAAACCTCCTAAATGCATTTCAAACGTTTTTTTTAAGTAAAACTATTATTTTCTCTACCCTACTTGAAAATGGGATCAGTCAATTCAACCGACCTCATAACAACCCCCCCAAAAAATCGAAATAAACCTAAGTTAACTTTTTTTTTCTCTTTCTAAAATGACTTCAAATTGTAACATGAAACTACATTCGTTTATTCAAAGTATCTCTAAATTCGCAACATGATACATGTATTTATAATTAAATTTTATTGTTTTATTGCCCTTTGAACCATGTATAACTACTATCTGCACTATTATAAGTTGTAAATCACCCAGGAAACATGCAGCTCAAGTTACGCTATCGAATTACATTACCCACGAGCTGCTTAAGTGTGTGCCTCATGAACCATTTTAATTATATTATTATTATTACTTATTTTACCTAATCTAGTCTTAAATAACCTAAAAAGATCAGTATTTTTAGATTTAGGTACTTTTACAATAATAAATACAGAATAAATATGAAAATAAGAAATAAATTACTTACCCAATCTTCTTTTTTCTTGATGTCGATTTAGAAAAGAGTTAACCCTAATTTTTTATACTATAGATAGTAATGCACTTAATAATTTTTATTTAACAAAATAATGCACTAAAGAATGTAGACTAATAACATGCAAAAAGTAGACAAATTCACTTACCTCTCAAAATTTTCCTGGCTTTCTAACTATGCAACAAGAGCCATTACAAATTCATTAAAGATAGTTGTTAATTTTCCCATGAGAACGAATCTTAAACTGTGAGTGAAAATGACAATATTCTGTTCAGAATACTTAATTTGATAGATGAAAATCTTGACTTTCTATTGGTTATAAGTAAGATATAATGAAACGTAAGAGAGAAGTATCAATGAATTGTGAAAGAGAAGACGTGACAGGTGGGTGTGACAGGATGGATCCGATTTTCTATTTGATAGCTCTGTAACCAAAAAAATTGAAGACTAAAAATTATGGTTTCTCTGAGCAATAACACTAGTGGAAATTCAGTATTTTTTAAATATTCCCCTGTAGAATTAAGAACTTAAAACTTGTATACTGTTAAAATATGGATTATTAGCTAATATTTTATGCTTTTCTAATTGGTATAACATAAACAAAAAGTAGTTTAATAAAATTTTGAATGTAAGACACTAAAACTTTGTGTCATGCGCAGTAAAGGATACCCAGGGTGATAGGGGTTAACAAGTGAAATCCAACTGCTGATAAAATGGTAATATAAACTCCAATTAGAGCAATACCTATGGATTCCATACTTTTGATGGACAGCAGTCTCGTAATCAGGAGCTTGTCGATACGATGGAAGTAAAGCTCGTCGTCTTTCTAGAGAAAGTTCTGAATGAATATAATTCTGCTGTTCAGGTTGTTTCTGTAAATCAGCAGTTGAAGACATGTCTTCACTGGCATGGAAATCATAGTAGGCAGTAACTGTGTGAGGGCGCACACGAGTTTCATGCGCACTGTGTAATGAAGATGATGACGTAAATGTTGTTGACAAAGCATTCTCTGAGAGGTGATGTTGTAAAGCTTGATGCTGCTGTTCTTGAAAGGACCTGTTGTTGATGTTTCTTTCTTCCTTATTGAACTCTTGTGATGATGTGAATGGACGATGTTCAACATAGCTTCCTTCAGTGTGGTAAATACCCAATTCATCTACATAAAACAGGAAAAGAAAAGCCTTTTCTGTTACTTCAGCTCTACACAAGCTATACTCCTAGTAGTTGAATCAACTCATTATTCAATTAATCCTCAGCCAACAAATCACATGCATCTGTTAGGCCTAGTGATAACAACTCTCTCAGAAAGAATGATTTGCTGAAATAATTTTGGGGTAAAAAATATTTTAAAAGCACAAATCAAACTTGCTAAATATACAGATGACTTGAAATTAATGAGTGATAATATTGTGCCATTATGGGAATGACCTAAGTCACAGTGATTGACTGGGAAAGGAAAGAATTAAAATCTAATTGGTAACTCATAACCTCTCTCAAATGTAATCTTGCAGATTCTGTCATCAGAAGATAAATGTTTCTGGTTTTTTAAAAGCAATATTCTCTGATGTTTTGTAATTAAAAGTATAAAGCATGATGATATTTTATATTCAATAAGTACTGATGTTATGTATTTATAAAATGCAGTGCGTGCTGGTGTTACACACACGTTTAATTTAAAGATAACAAGAGACTTGTTGGTCCATCTAGGATATCCCATACACTAAAATAAACTTATCAATCAAATATTTGTCAAGCCTTCTCTTAAACTCCCTTAAATCAACTGCATTAACCACATCTATGGACAACCCATACCAAAGGCCAACCACCTTATTAGAAAAATAAAGCTGTCTTAGCTGAAGATGGCTCCTATCTTGTCAAAATTTATATTTGTGTCCCTTAATCCTTCTGAAGATGAACAGAAAATGTCCTAACATTTTGTGTATAAATAACAACTATTTATAAGATATATAATTAGTATTTCATTTTTTACCAGCCATTTGTTTAAAATTCAGTAATATGGGTGTATTAACTACACCCCATTAAGCTTCTCTAAAAGTAAGAAGACTTGTAATTATGAAATTCAGTTGTACATAGTACATACCCAAAGATTCTTGACTTGCTTGAAAGTTATCCACAACAGCTTCTGAATTACCCTTGAAAAATCATTAAAACAACACATCATATTTACATTTGTATACCATTTTATATAATCTATATTTGTAATATGATTGGAATATAGGAGAACATGTCACAAAAATTATTACCTTATATTTTCTAATATAATCTAGTATGACAACATTTCTTAGTGCAATAACAGAACCAACATTGATAAATTCCATACCACATATCCGCAATATGTTCTAGATCAATTACATGTGTTATTGTGATAATATCACTTAATTACAATATGTTCTAGATCAATTACATGTGTTATTGTGATAATATCACTTAATTACAATATGTTCTAGATCAATTACATGTGTTATTGTGATAATATCACTTAATTACAATATGTTCTAGATCAATTACATGTGTTATTGTGATAAT